CCCCCACTGAGTATATTAATATGCTGAATATCGCTGAACCAGAAAATGTCATCCTTTTTCATAATGAAACATAAATGGTACTTCCTGTAATTGCTGCTTAGATTCGAAAGTCGTGAACAGTGATCATATTGCCTACTTTGCTGCACTTGTTCATTTTTTTTTTTTGGAATTTTCTTCTCCCACTTATGATAGCTCAGGACAGAAACATAGGTTGAACTGAAATATATGATCTTGTACTCTGTTATTAATCTTTTATCTCAATCTAATCTGTCTATCTATACTACAATAAAAAGAGATACTATTATTATATTATTATTATATTATATTATATTATATTTATTATATTATATTATATTATTTATATATTATAAAGGAGTAGTTTTGTAAAAAAGTGAAAGGACTGAAAAACTCTCATGTTTGATATAATTATAAAAGTAAAATTTGTAATAACAATTAAAAAACGTAAGTATATATGGTTCTTAAAAAGTAGAACTCGAATACTGATGTGATTATGGCGTAATCATTATAAAGAATTCTAAGATTTTAATTACATGTGTTTTTTAGCATAAAAATCCTTAACTAAAAATGGAATCTGATCAAACCGAAAAAAGAAAAGGACAACTGGGCAAGGTCTCTAACTGTAGTGTTTCATACTGCTCTTACCTCTGCATATTATAAGAGAAATAATTTGGTTATGCTGAATTAATATACTTATTATTTACAATATACAAATTAGTGAATGTTATATGTATATATATAGATATAGCTTCTTATGTTATAATGCATATTTATACTCCTATTATAAAATACTTATTCTATAATTATAAAACAATGTATAAGATCAAAAATGAAAACAATACTTTAAGTTATTAAATTAAAAATATGGCGACGCATTTAGAAAATGAAATAACCGTAATATATCGATACCATGAGTTTTAGGAAGTTTGGTACTTTATAAAAATGGGAGAATATTTCATAAGAGAGTTTTATAGTGTTTTTTATAGATTATAAAATGAAAGTCTTTTTTTAAACAACCAAATTGATATAAATACCATTTTCTGCTAAGACAT